CTGGCTGCTGAAGTGAGATAAATTCGAGACGCCCATACGAGTAGAGGTGATTTCACAGTCACTTTTCCAACCTACCTACAGAACTGGCAGTAAAGATCAACCACTCTCTGTCTGTGAACGTCTGGGCAATTTCATCTGACTTCTAAATGCAGCCTATATTCACGTATACAAAGATGACCGATTCTTCTTAATAGCATAGCATTCATAGTAATATAGTGCAGGGACGGAGACGAATGCTACTGTTTCGTACGGTTCGTAAAGCACAGAATAACGAACGACAGAGCGAGTTCGATTTCATTCGATTGCATCAATCATATCGGGTGCATGAAATTCATCTATCGATTGCTCTGCTATGAACAGCAGAACAGACCGTGCTTGTCTAGAGTTACATATCAACTTACTGTTGCAATGCAATTCTGTTATGTGTGTATGTGTGTGCATTTAAAATATATAACATTACGTCGATTCTAATCTATGTATGCAATTTCTCTATTATTTCTCTGCAAATATCCATTCCATTGCTGTTCTCTATATTACTATTTTCATAAAATACTCCTTTTGAATACGTTCACATATACACACACATACGAGCAAACGATTGATAGATGGAAGATGCAGATTCCATTATCGACCCATTCAACTTCTAACTCTTATGCAATAGTGCCCAGCGCTTTTCCACAATTTCGCTTTACGATCATTTATTGATTGCGCGCATTGAATTTGTGTGGTTTGCATCGAATTTTTATTGAATTTTTCCCGTAGAGAATTTCTTCAATATCTTTTGTTTTCAGTTTTCAGTGTTCTAAGGTACATATGTCATATCCTTATCAACTAGTGAAATGTCTGAAAATGAAAAATCTGAAAAAATGTCTGCACACTTAATTAGGTCAAGAACATGGAGAGACATTGTTGTTATGGATGGTAAGTGAATCTGATGTCATTTTTTGGAACGCATGATTATAATTCCAAGTTTCTCACCATAAGTTCCTTGCCATTTTCCAAGTTTTAAGCAGCTATTCCAAAAAACCGCAACTTCACTACATCTTCACTTCGTACAACAAAAAAAATTTCGGAAAAAAATCTGTTCGCGTGGAACTTTTCATATTGATTCGGAAATGATTCATCGAAAAGTATTTCTTCACTTCCAGCTAGCAATCAATTCTCATGCAACCATCATTTGTGCATTTGCGATCAGAAATTTCAGTTGAATTTTTGAACGTCCAAGGGAAGTCCTTCCTTACTCGAGCAGATAGTCGCATTTTCAGTCTGATATCTTAAAATTAAGATGAGCTAATGAACTGATGATAGTAACATTCATTTATGATCATATGGCAGTGGCAATAGTCATTCATAAGTATAGACTGTGAAAGATTTGAAGTTCTACGTATGTGTGTAACGTTGTGAAATGTGATCGAATCTATTGGGAATGTGTTGAAAAAAAGAACATTTCGGACGTGTTGTGACAGTGAACGGTAAAACATATCGTACCAGAGGGCATACGCATCCATCTAATCCAGCAAAAATTGAACTGAGGATAGCTGAGGAAATGTGTCGCTATCGCCACTACTTCTAGTGCCAGTCAGTTGATTTTATTGTTTTCTCTCGCGTGGTTAATTCGCTGAGTGCGTAATGTCCACGACAGCAGATGATCAGCAACAATGATATTTATGGTTAATCATTTGTTGCACTGTTGAATCTTCATGCAGCAAGAATGTTATCTGACGATTGTTCGGAGTTGTCGTATTAATATCATTTCNTTTGTTGCACTGTTGAATCTTCATGCAGCAAGAATGTTATCTGACGATTGTTCGGAGTTGTCGTATTAATATCATTTCACTCCTATGAAACGTTACATTCCCAAGTTCGATGGCTATTTATGTGATCTTTTTCGATGCAGTCGTCCTTGCAAGTATCACTTCATCGGCACTCTTTATTAATTCGTATTTATCCTTTTCATGAAATGAAGTTCACTCTTGATGCGTTCTTCATCTGCACACGTCAATTTCTCCTCTCACTAATTCATTAGAGTCTGTTGAGTCGAAGTAGATCGAATTACTGAAATGTCTCAAGAAGAGTAGATCGAATATAGACAAGCTGAAGAGCATGATTCAAGCCTATCGAAATGATGAATGAGCCTGTCGAAATGCATCAGTAAAGAGCCGATAATGGTCTTTCAGGGCTGAAATGCCATTATCGGCTCGTTCACTACATTTCACACAGATTGACATTGAATCGACGGAACCATCACCCTCTCACTGCAAAATTTACCACTAATGCGACAAATTCACCGAATCACTCAAACGGATAAAGAGCCAAACTCCATCGTTGCAATTATAGTGGATTAGAGATTTGCGGATAATTGAGCATCATATTCTATTCTTTCGTGATATTTTCATTCAAATCTATTTGATTAACTGATGGTTAGGATAATGCACGAACAGTATTCGCTTGT